ACCTAAACCCGACCCGAACCCAGCCCGATTTTTCACGGGCTTGGGCAATCATTTTTACAATTAGGGTTGGGCTTGAGTTAAAAATTTTCAACCCGAATTTAATTAGGGTTGGGCTTGGGTTGAAGTGCTAGCAACCCGGTCCAAACCCGAATCCGAATTCTAATATTATATTCATGTACTTTTAAATACATTATATATAATATTTATGATTACTTTTTTTCTTTTCAATTTCTTTTATTAAATCTTAACTTATTGTATATTAACATTTAGGAGAATTAATTTTCTAATTTTTTTTTGTAATTTATTAAAAATGTACAAAAAGTCTTTAAACTTTTTCTTGTTTAAGAGTAATTAAATCTAAAACTAATTTAAGATCGTATTAAATTTTCGGTGTAAGGATTAGCCATTTGAGTAACCCAAATTAACCCGATGTTTTTATCCGGAGTCTAAGCCCGAGTTGCAAGCCTGAATTTAAAAGTAGCAGGATGGGTTGGGTTTGGGTTGAGTAGTTAGGGTTGATAATATAGGGTTAGAGTTGGGCTTGGATTTAGCATTTTATATGGTGGGTTAGGCTCAAGTTATACCTCAAACCCACCCAACTCGCCCGAGTTGTAACCCTACTTTCAATTCAATTACTTATCCAGGGTTGATCTTAAGATTTCCAAAATTTTGAGAGGCTCTAGGCAAACTTACAAATGTGAGGCCCTTTATAAAGTTTCACAAGCGCAAAAAATTTATAAGAGTACGGAAATTTCATTAAAATGAGATGATAAACACATAAAATATATTAACGTTGAAAACACACAAAACAAAATCCAGTTTTTGCTCTTTATAAAGAGCACGATACAGTTTACATCAAAAAATTAAAAGAAATATTTAACACGACTTAGTCACAAAAATCAAAATCCAGCTTCAAAATTAAATGTGTTTGTCTTACATTTTGAGCTGCATAATTATCAATTGGAGCACTTTAATTGATAATTTTGCAATCCAAGCATTTGAAAAATAATAGCTTAACCTTTTTGTAATAAAAAAAAAAAAAAAATTTCTTCAATTACCTTTTTTGTTCGTCTTGGTAAAATTTTTCGTAAGACTTGTACCTCTTAAAATAATTATGTCTCATGAATATCAGAAATCATGTCATATTTCAGTTGACTTTAAAAGATTATTTTGAAAAATGTGATAGTTGATTGCACCTATGAGTTAAAATTTTGATTGTTTGGACTGGACTTAACATGAGCCCAAAAATAATTTAAATAAAATAAACGTTTCTGAGTTTAAAAATAAAATTTATTTTTTATTTTTTTAAATTTTTAAAGGAGGGGATTCTAAATAAATTATTGGATAACATATATAAATTGATATTATAAGTACATATATTTATTGTCTTATTTTTTTTTACATGATATATAAGTATATATTGTCTTTTAATTATGAAAATTATGACCTGAATGTCAAACATATACTATTATATTTGCACTATTGTCCTAAATTTTAAGCCCTTTCAAATTGGAGGCGGGCGACTGCCTTGCCTCAAGACTAACCCTATCAATTCATAGGGCAGTATGCAATCCAATGTCCTAAATTTGAGGCCCTTTCAAATTGGAGGCGGGCAGCCGCCTAGCCTCAAGACCAACCCTATCAATTCATAAGGTAGTATGCAATCCAATATTACACATAGACAATCATAAATACAAAAATTAATAGAATTCATGCAAAACATAATAATGGCAAAAATAATAATAATAATAATGAATAATTATTTCTTCTATGATTTCTATAGATTTTTTTTTTTTCTAAAACGTGAATGATTATTTTATTTTGGAGTTGAAAATAATTATTTATTTATGGAGCAAGTTTGGACAACGAATGATTATTTATTATTTATTTATGGAGCAAGTTTGGACAATGAATAATTATTTATTTACTCTTTTCTACAGAGTTTTGAGTTTTTGTTTTTTCTCTTTGTTTAGTTAATTGAGATTTGCGTTGTTGTGAGATGAAGAGAAGGAGGAGAGAGAGAATTGCTTTGTTGTGGAGAGAGAAAGGACGACAGAGGAGAGTCCCCCTAGTAGATCGTGTTTAAGAAGGAAAGAAGAAAAAATAATAACAATAAGGAAAAGAAAAACGGTTTAACCAATAAAAAATGGGTAAGACCTATCTTTAATTATTTTTATTTTTTTAGACACATACTCCAATAACATTAAACCATATTAAATAAAGGATGATATTATCATTCTAAATGGAGGACCCAAGCATTGTCCTTAATAAGAATGCTATTCATTTGGGTATTTACTACCATCATACCCTCCTTGTTAGCTAATCTTTCTGTTAGCATTTTTATATTATCCAACAGTCAACTAATATATTATTGTTATGAATTTGATATATTTTACCATTAATGAAAGGATACTTTCACCGGTGAGAATGTAAATCATGACGTAAATCAATAACAAATGAATACGTACTCTTTAATTACTAAATTAAAAATGTGGGATGTTTTTAAAAGAGTGCTAATTGTAATCGCAAGTGCAATTGTTCGGCACTCTTAATTAGTTAGGATTTCTAAAATCACGCTAATTAGTTAAAGGTCTCCTTAGACAATTAAAATATAAATATATAGGGCAAAAGTGCCCTCTTAATTATTTTCTTCTCTCTCCTCACTTGGATGGTGTGTGTATATTTATAAACACCTAAATTATTTTCTTTTTTTTTTTTTGTTTTTTTTTTTTTTTTTTTGTCCCTTCACACATACGGGTATGTATAGATTGAGTATCTATATATACTGTTCGCGTGGTTTTTGTTCCCTACGCCGGTCGATGGACTCTTCGCGGGCGTGCCAGAGTATTTGTACAAAATACCCAAAATATATAATTAAACACCAGCCTATCCCTTTATTCGATGGCTGACTCTCAGGCGATTGCGTGGGAGAGAGACTAGTAAGAACTCCCAGCAAGGTTCTTTTATGCCTTGTTTGTAGCAAGGACTTTTTACAGTGTTAAAAGAAATGCAACGGCTGATGAATGTTTGGATGGATGGAATGACCGAGTGAAGATAGGCGGCAAGAACTTAATCGATCACCGGCCGAACGTGATGGCGAGAACTTAATCAATCGCCATCAGCCAAACACAATGGCAAGAATTTAATCGATCGCCACTGAAACGTGATAGCAAGAATTTAATCAATTGCTATCAGCCAAGTAATGACAAGAATTTAATCAATTGTCACTACGATTCAATGGCAAGAATTTAATCAATTGCCATTGAATTGAAAGCCTAACTAAAATTGCGTAATTAAAATTGGCATAATTGAAATTGATAGAAAGTAAATGGCTGAATCGAAATAGTTGACGAGGATCTAATCAATTGCCATTAAATTGAAATAAAGAAATTGATAGGAAAATGACGTAGAGTCAATTGAAAACATTTTTAGTTGAAATGCATGTTTTGTGGTGGTGCTGGACGAATTGGAAATGGAATACAATACTTCTATTTATAGAAGTTCTATCTCAACTTATTTTCCTAATTAATTGCTAGAAAATCTCTTTGCTCCTTGATTTTCTTCACTTTATTACTCAAACTAAACCACGTTCCAGTAGTCTTTTGCGTCTCTTCTCTTCTTGCTTCAATAGGAAAGTCCTTGCTGAAATCTCTCCTTGATCTAGTCAAATGCAAGTTGTCGAGAAACACGCTGAAAGTTGCTAACTTTTAGCAACTCCTTTCCTTAAGTTAGGCTGAAAACTTCCCTTAAATGGCTGGAAGACCATTTATAACTTTTGCCCAAATTATCCCTCACGTGACGGCCTCTCCTTTGAATTCCTTATTCCTTTGCAACGAAATTCCTATTTCATAGGAATCTCATTCCAACTAAATCTCTTTTATCCAAACTGAAACAATATATTTGAATTAACTCAAATATTAATTACCAAATTTCAGCAACAACCTTATTGGATAAGGTGGCTAAATTCCTAAATTTTCTCCTCTTACTTCTCAATGGGCCGACTTTTCTTGAAATCATACTAAACAAGTGTCGGCCCATCGCTGGTCCACGTCACCGCTAAGGTGGCTGCCAGTTTTTGGTGCCAACATATACAAACAACAGCTTGTATATATACATACATACATACATACATACATACACATACTCCGTATAAAGCTAAAAGACAATTAAAAAAAAGAAGAAAAGAATTCATACAAAAAGATAGAAAATAATCATAATCCATTATATATATATGGAAAATGATATTAAGGCCGATCATTTTGGCAGATTCGTTAGACCGAAGCATATGTGGCTAGCCACGTCATGACAATCTCCCACTGAACCAAAATTAGACTCACCGGACCAACCAAGTTCTCCTTGGGGCTATTGTTCTTGTTGACGCTCACTGTTACTAGAGCATGGCCGGAATCTCAGATGCCAGAACTAGGTCAGCCGCCGGAGAGAATCTGAGATTGTGTTGTTCTCTTTTTTTGGCGAATTTTTTTTTTTTTTTCGCGAAATTAATTAATCGATCTTTTGTTCTACCGTGTTCTGAAGGGCGACTAGCGAGTAGGTGAGACGTTGCTGTTTGAATATTAGGGCCCCGTATGTATACACACACGTGTTTACATATATATACGATTCATAATTAAAAAGACACTTTTTTCTTATAAATTTATTTTTTTAGTACACATTTAATTTTAGGAAAGCTAACCAATTAGGAGGTGGGACACTCGCATGTGTTAGTGCAATTAACACTCCTCTTTTGAAAAGTAAATATGTGTCATTAAATCTGATTTGGTAATCAAAACCCATTTAAATTTCAAAAAAAGAAAAAAAACCATTTTCAATAGTAAAAATTATTTTAAAATAGATTTACCGTTACATTTTAAATTTTTGTATTTATTTAGTTATTTATTATATAACTCAGATTGAAAACGTGCTTTTTCAATTGGCCAAAAACACCCCAAGTACGACGACGTTTCGATAAGCCCGAAAATTCTGACTTGAGTTGGAGCAACTAGTCGCCCTTCCTCCGAATAAACAGTTTTTAGTGTTGCAATTTCAACTTGCCTTCTTCGACTCTTCTCCTTACACGGCTTCACTTGCCCTGAAAATTTAATTCCCCCAAACCCTACCTTTCTCTTTCATCAAGCCAATTCTCGATTCTAAAACTCTCTCTCTAGAGAAATAACAACTATGGAAATCTCTGTAATCGCCGATACATTATCAGTAGCTGCAAGACAAGGCCTAGGGTTTGCCAATTTTCTTCTTCGTCCCCATAACAGCCTCCCTCTATTCGATTCCTCATCGGAACAACCTTCCTCCGCCGGAAACCTCCAAATCTCCGCCTTGATTTCTCCGGTAGATGCGGTGGCTCCGCCACCTGTCAAATCGAATTATCTCAAAACCGCACCACGAAGACTAGTCCGAAAAGCGCGGCGACTTAGACGGAAATCTTCGATTGGTGACGGTGGCGAGGACGGTGAAGACGGTGGGTTCTCTGGTGGCGCCGGTGACGGTGATGGTCCATTTGGTGGAGGCAGCGGTGGTAGGGGATGGAATTTTGGTGGATTTGGAGAGTCAAATTGGGACGAATCTTCGTGGCCTTCGTCATCCGATCATGATTTTGATTTGGTATACGAGGTGATCAGTTGGATTGCTCTTTCTAATTGCTTGCACTTTGCGGTAAAAAAGGTTATGAGAATCATGGCGGACGGTTTTGGCGATCCAGAAAGAGAGAAGGTTCCAATGAGATTTCCAATCTGCTGATTTGGTATACCGTTCTTTCTCAATTCCTTCAAATAAATTTCTTTTTAGAATGGTGGATGTCTAGGGTATTGTATACCTTATCATGGGTTTTTCATCATCTTCTGCTTGATGTTTCAACGTAAATACTGTACAGATATAAATATGTGTAAATATTCATTGCGTCCTTAATTGCTTTTCAATTTCTTCTTGTTTATATAATACTTTGGCTGGTATATGTTGAATACATTACTCTCTCTCAGAATGTTATCTTTCATTATTGGTGATTTGCTTATTGTATGCATTAACACAGGTTCATCATCTTTGCATTCAAGATTAAATGTAAATAAAGTATATATATTCATTGTGTACTTAAATGCTTTATGGTTTCTTCTTGCATATGTGACAATAGGATTATTGTTTCAAAGAATATATTGAACACAGTTTTGTTAATCCTAAAATCATCAGTTAGAGTTTGAGGTCTCCAAAGTAGTCATTTCATTCCCCACACTCACGCTTTTATTAACCTTTAGGATATCTCCCATACTTGGCTCTTTCATTCACATGGATTATGTCCTATTATTGTTTATTTTACAATAAAATAGTTATAGATGACATGCTACCCTAAAAATCTCTCTATGGATTTTGCTACGTTTAGACTTCGGGTGAATAGTTATGGAGGTGTGCGATTGAGAAGCATTTTGAGAAAAAATGTGTTGGGATTTGGAGTACAGTTGCATTGATGGAGATTGGTTAGACTTCAAGGCCTCAAGGGTTATGAGATAAATTTTTGAAAGCAGTTTGGAGTGAAAGGTTAGCTTGTTTTTATATGTTAGAGCGGCGTTCAAGTCTTCATAGGAGCTCTATTACTACGTTCATTTATTGAATTGCAAATTACTATGTAGGTGTCTGCAAACAAAAAGAGGAGAACAAGAATTGTGAGTCTGTGTTACGTGAGCCATTTATGTTTTAGGAAGATGTTTAATGTGCTGGCTATCATCATATGGATGAATTTCTTTAATTCATTTTTTATTTTTATTTTTTCATACAATAGATAGAGATGCACGCGTAAAGATTATATATATTTAAAGGGGAGGTGATTTGAAATTTTATCTTTTTCTCGAGTTCCATGTTTTAGAGAGATTTACTCACCTTGGAGAAGTTGTGGGTAATAACGGAGAATGCTTAGAGCCCATTTGGGATTGCTTTTCAATCGTTTTAAAGCGCTTTTATTTTTAAAAATTGCGTTTAGATGTGTTCGGTAACCATTAAAAGCACTTTTAACAGTTACCAATTTTAGCTTTTGAATAAAGCTAGAATTTGCAGTGTTTAAAACTTATTTTTTATAAATTCTATTACACTCCTTTATTGTCAAATATTATAACATCATATGAAAGGATTTTATTGTAAAATTAGCGATAGATGTATTTAAAAAAATATTGTTACCAATCAAATTAAAAAATAATTTTATTGTGAAAAGTACTTATTATAACACCTAACATGCATGTTACTGCCAACAATTTTTTGATAGCTCTATTCACAAAAGTGCTTTTTTTTTTTCTAACAGCAATCCCAAACCCAAACGGGCTTTTAGTGACGGAGCTATAGATAAGTATAACTTGGTACACACCAAGCAGATAAATTATGTGCAAGCAGGCTGGGGAATTGGTGGATAATATGTTTTGAAGGTTGTGTGGGATCTGTGTGTTTTTATAAATTGTTTTTCAGGATTTGTTGGATGATTGGTAAATCCACTTCTTATTGCGTTGAGGCTTTGGAGGATCAGAGTGGGGGTTGCACTAAAAATTTCAGTCATTTTCTAAACTGTATTAGGTTATTGTTCATTTTAGTGCTTCAAATTACATATCTTCACAGATCATTAAACAATGGACCAAGATGGATTTAACGTTGGGTCCTACGGAGGTGCCCCCACTCAATCTCTTTTATTTGCATTTTTCATATACAAAATTTTGAAAATCTAAAAATGCCCTTACTCTAATCTTTAGCCCCCTATTCTTCTTTGAACACCCCCCCCCCCACACACACACACACACACCCCTCTCTCTCTCTCAAAACACACACGCACACATTCCCAACTTTCTTTTGTGCGATCTTGCCTCTTTCTCTCAAAATCCAAACCTATATAGCTCCATTAGTCCTCTCTTTCCTTGTACTCCACTGCTCTCTTTCGGTTGCTGTCCCTTCAAGAACAGTGGCAGAACCCCGTTAGGTCTAATGGGGCAGCTGCCTCCACTCAACTTTTTTGTTATTCAGTTTTTGCATGTCTACTTTATAATAATTGTAAAAATGCCCAACAAAGTTGTCCCTTAATCTTAAAGTCCAGTTCCACAAATGAATTATTAGACATGTTATTCTTTATGCGACAAAATGTTGGGCAGATACGAAACAATAGATGGATAGAGTGTAGTAGAAATGGGAATGTTAATAAGGATGCGCAATATGACAATAATAGGGGGTAGAACTAGAAATGAACACTTTTGTGAGATTGTTGAAGTTGTATCCATTGGAGATACAATGAGAGAAAACCAATCAAGAAGGTTTGAACCTGTACAAAGAACTGTGCGCGCTAGTTAGTAAAAGTGACATGGTCCACATTGAGGGTAATGTTAGGTAAAGGGGAAAACCAAAACTAGCATGGATAGAGAGGAAAACTATGATAATATATGGTTTGACTATGACCTTAGATAGGGCAAAATGGAAAAATAAGATTCATGTAGTTGATCTCAAGTGATTTAAAAAGGCTTTGTTGAGTTGAGTACTCATTGACATACTGTGAGAGCGAGCAAGATGATGGAACAAGTAGAATGAAAAAAAGGGGTTCATGTACCAAATTATTACTAATGATCCAACACATAAATGATATTAATGGAAAATACAACTACTCATATCAGCTATCCTAAGCATGAAATAGAATCTTTCCTTGGGTGAGATTTGGGGGAAAAGTTTTTGAGCATGGTCGGAGTATTATTGGTCCAAGTAAATTTCAGTTTACTTTGGTACATAACACTACAATTCAGTATCAGTCTCTATATCTTAATATATGGAGGTGGGTGAATCATAGTTGAATAATCACAGACCAGCACTGAAATCAATTAGTTGAATGCGTCAGAGGAGGTGGTTTTGTTCAAGGAGTAAATAGGTCACTTGGTATAGATAGACTGTTGGACATGGTGACCTTATGATTCAAGAGAACCAAAAACTGCTCTATAATTAGGCAGTCTGGGTGATGAAAGCAAGTACAGAGGAAAAGATGTCTAATTGTTTCTCATGGTTGTAAAGTGTGAACTGGGATAGCTTATATTTTACAGGTTTGATTGCTGCTTTTTATGGACAGACTGATCGACACGTTACAAAGTTGTTAGAATATGTAGCTAATTGGAGATTGTTAATCGTGCATCTCGTAAATTAATCAGTGCGTGTCTCGATTTCCTTTGTGGAACAACCAAGTTATTATAAATGATGCTTACATGTTTATGCTAATTATCACAGTGGACTTTGAATGTTGGATAATTGAGCATACTTCCAATAGCCAGTGTATTTTGTGAAGGCATGTCGCCGACCCGAGTAGTTAGAACAGCGTTTGTTGAATTGAAGATTTGGATGCTCTTACATGAACAGGACTTTCTATCAGTTCAGAAGTTCTGCTCAGACTTTAGGCAACTGACTGACTGATCAGATTTTTTAGTTATAATGGAAAACTAGAAATGCAACAGTGACCAGTATCTGCTATATTTATTGGTTTGTATACTGTCTTGCTCTCTTTAGGTATAAATTGTAGTTTGTTATTAGGAAATGGATTCGGTATATGTACCAAAGAATAAATGATGCAGTATATTCTATTTTATGCTTTTTGATCTATTTATATCCCTTATAGCTCCAGCATTATTCTGTCTCATATTTGATATAAGCAATTCCTTTATTCACTATGCGGGTTAAATATTTGATTGTTTGGTTAACAATATCATATTTGATTGTCCGTGGGGTTAGAGGAGTGTTTTATAAACGTTTACTTGAAGCAAAGTATACTTATGTCACATTTGGTAATATGGAATCTACCGAATTTAATTCCAGTTACAATGGGAGGAAATCTAGTTTTAGAGTTTGAAATAAAATTGTATTCTTGAGAATTTTTATTATTATTATTTTTAAATTTGTACAAGAAACACAATCACTCCTACTTAACTGGTATGGAGACTGGAATTCTCAACTCTCTACTTGGTGAAAGTGCCTAGTTGTAACTTTCATTTATCCAAAAGTTTAAGTTATTGGGCAGTGCTATATACTCACCTATTTATACCAATTCATTTTCTTATCCGGATTCAATGTGTGGCAAGCTCCCATTGTAACATTCTTCCCCACCTGAACTTGCAACGCTCTCGTTGCAACTCGGGCCACCTTATCTACCTAGGATTAAGACCCGGACGTCCTTCGGACCGAGTGGTTGGCGTGACACCCCTATTTCTGATACCAACTGTAATGGGTGAATTTTTGCTTGCTTACTCAAACACTTAAATTATTGGGTAGTACTGTAACTCATTCATTTTCACATTCGGATCCGCATGGGACAAGCTCCCCTTTTAACATTTGGCTAGTACTTGTATTCTTTCAAAATGGTTTGTGTTTGTTTACAGTGATGCATTTGTGAGTCATGGTAAAATATACCCAATGGTTTGGGTTCCTTTATAGTAATGCAATTGTGAGCTGTTTGGTGTTGGAGTTGTTTGCTGCCCTTTGTTTTTCTCTCTGTCTGTCTCTCTCTCAGGAAGAAATTGCAAATTGTGTTTGGCCAGAATATGGTGCATGTAGGATTAGGTTTACTCAATTTAGAGGGTAAATAAAAACTAAGCCAATCGCAACAGTTCTCTAAAATTTGAATTGGAAATGATGGAACTTTATGAATCAAATCAAACCTTTGTGTAGTTTAGTAGTAAATTATCACCTTCCATGAATCAAGATTGAAAGTTTAAATCTGCCCATGAGTAAAAAGTGGGTGCGTGCTTCTGCTTGTTTTTATTAATTTTAATTATTATTATTATTAGATCTGTCTAAGGCGTATTTTTTTGTAGTCTTGGTAAGAGGGGGAGGGTAAAAAAAAAAAACTATAAGTAGTTTTAATTATCATTATTATTAGATCTGTCTAACGCTAAAGTATGATTGGTTTTTTTTGTTTTTTTTTTTTTTAAGTCTTGGTAAGAGGGCGAGGGTTTAAGGTCTTTCCTGATGAAGGGTGTATCAACTCTCAAACAATTCCAAATAATTTTTTGATTAAAAACTCTTATATGTCCAAGGTCTATTATTGAAATAATTTTTAAGGTTCTCTCTTATTTCGTCCATTTTAACAAACAATTCGAAATAATTTGAGTTCTAAAAATCAAATAGCAATGATTATGTCATTAAAAGCACCCCCCAAAATGAAAGGGATGATCTCGTAATTCTCAGTGTGTGAGATTTGGGATGATACATTGTTAGGTGTTTTTATTTTATTCCATTTTTCCATTAAGGCCAAACATAAACCACCTATAGAGAGATAGGCTGCGCAGTAGGGTAGGGTTTGAGAAGGGCAATTTCTCATTCTTAAAATTAGTTTTCTTAAGGCCAATTAATCAATATTCAGTGGGAAAAGGGAGTAAAACTCTTCATTTCTGTTTCTCTTGATATTTATGGTATCAGATTGATTTCAATTTCCACCTTTAACAAAGAACCAAACAAATCATAGCAATTTCATTATTTTCGAAATTGGAATCAAATTCAAGACAACAATTTGCAATCAAATTCAAGACACCAATTTGGCATGACACAATAAAGTAAAAGGCTCACACACCCACTTTGTTTTTATAGGAATTTAAACTTTCAACTTTTTACTTTAAAAGACAAGAAATATTATTAGACTACATCAAATGCGTACTTAAATTTAGAAGTTAATTATAATGATTTTTTTTTTTTTTAACCTATACATCTCAAAATGAATGGTGAGGATTTAATGGACAAATGGGTATGTCTTGTCAAGGAAAGACAAAATTATAGCTCTTGATATAGGTACATATTAACTTATGTGGGTGTATTAATATATTATATAGGCTTTAATTTTCTACTCGAATTTGGGCTTGTTTCAACTGGATAAAGGGCCCAAGTTCAAAAATTATACAGGCTTGGGGTTGGGGGCTCTTTGAGAGTTAATTTTTTTCTCTCTCTCCAAATTCGCTACAAATAGAGGCCCATAACTAAAGGGCTTTGAATTTTTTTTTTTGTTTTGGCTAGATTGTTTTATGTGTGTGTGTATACTCGATCTCATAAATACATATAGAATTTTGTGAAAAGTCGTATATGATGAAAGTCGTATGTACGATTTGGAGGGAGATCTTTCATATTTTTTGAGATCCACACCTGGAAGGGGAGGGAAATGTCAAGCATGGGATCATATCTTCTTAGGACTATTCTAGATCAACAGTTCTACCAATTGATAAGTTTCCACAAATAATTGAAATTCAATTTCTTGATATATATACACACACTACTATTATATTGTAGACAGTGATTCAACTCTTTTCTTCTTGTCCTTGACCAAACATATTTGATATGCCAAGACTTGTGGATTAATAAACTTGAAGGGTAAGTGTTAGTGTTAGTGTTAGTGTTAGTGTTACTGTTCAGTGCCTTTGGGTCGGCCAAGGAGTAATGCATGAATTATTTTTATTTTATTTTATTTTTTTTGAGTCCATGCTTATTGCGCTGCATTTTACCATATCACATCATTATAAATGCTATAGATTGAAAGATTTTTTTAATAATTAGGCCATGGTCAAATTTCATCTCATAAAACTAGTAAATATAGGCATCGCAAAATGAAAAATCAAAGTATATCAAGTCCTCACAGGATCAAACGGATGTATGCATTATAATGATTTTTTTTTTTTTTTTTTTTTCCTTTTAATTTTATTTTGCTAAAGGTCATTTGAATTATTTATTAATATCAAAATCAATTTTCAAAATAGAAACTCTAGAGTTTAAAGCAATCAACATGATATTAGAATAAGTAGAATTATTAAAAAAAATTGTGAAGTGTTCCATAACAAAAGTTTCATCATGTATTTGCCGCATGAATGGCCCCACCTTTGCCTTTGTTACATCACTTTTCCAATAATAGACAATTGTAATGTCTATTACAGCTCATATTTAGGGGGGGAAAAAAAAAGAAAGAAAAAAAAGATAATATTCCTCACTAGAAGATACATTATGGTCCATTGAAGTATCCAGTTTGGCGTCGTTCTTATAATGAAAGAAGCTTGTTAATAGAGCTGCTGTTATAATAAAAGAAGCTTGTTAATAGTGCTCTCAAAAAATTACTTGTTAATAGTGCTCTCAAAAAATTATATGTAAAGTGTTTGGTGACATATTATAATAAATATTTTTAAAATTAAATTATTTTTAATTTTTTTTGGTTATAATATTTTTTAAAATACTTGTATTGTTAATTTTACAATAATATTTTTTAATATAATGTTACAATTGTTGATCAAAAACCCTAATCCATTTGTTTTGATGATAACAAATCAGTTAAAGAAGTGTTATATACTAATGGTTCAACTGAGTTTGAATGCAAGGAAAATGAATGCTTCGTTATAAAAAGGAAGAAAGTAACTTTATGTCATCATATGGACACTAAAAGCTTTAAGAAGAAAGGTGTACTTAACAAAGTTCAAAATGGCAAATTATGATGTTGACAAAGTACAACAAGAAGGGGCTCAAAACAGCATGATCAGCACTATACGTCGACTGGTTTAACACACATGTCGACCAGTATCTAGGCAGAGGCAAAATTCAAAGAGGAGCTCATATACGTCGACCGATTTAACACACATGTCGACCGGTATCTAGGCAGAAGCAAAATTCAGAGAGGAGCTCAGATACATTGACTGGTTCAACACACATGTCGACCGGTATCTAGGCAGTAGCCAAACTTCAAGAAAAGGCTCCTTCATGTCGACTGGATTAAGCATACATCAACCGGTTCATATAAAGGATACGTCGACTGGTTTGCAGCTAACGTCGACCGGTTTATACCAAACGTTAACCAGTTTATGTCACATGTCGACTGGTTTGGTCACAGCTCTGTAGATTCAAAATTTAAACGGCTAGAATTTCATTTAATGCTCCCAACCACCTGCAACAGCTCTATTGAAGTCGAAATCTCTACAAATACAGAAGGTTGGTCTACAAACAAAGGGTCTTCCTTGTGAGAGCATTCAAGAACATCATTTAAGAGCATTCAAAGAGCCTTAAATTCTGATCTGAGCATTTACTTCTTATTTTCCTCTCTCATATCAGTTTAGAAACTAGAGTTTCATTTATTTCATCCACTTACTCTAGTGTGAGAGTTATTCTTGTAATATCTTCTAGAGAGAGAGAGAAAAAAAAACAATATTGTAATCTTCATCTATATATCTTTACTATCTTGTAAGGGTTGGTGTGACCCAAAAGCAAAGCTTAGGAGAAAGGTGTTCTCCAAGCAAATGATTTTGGAAAGTCTCAAGGGAGGACCTTGAGCCGAGGAGTAGGAGCTTCCGAACCTCACTAAATCGCCGAGTCACTGTTTGCAATTCCTTATCTCTATCCTCTTTACTTGTACTCATATTGCTTGAATATTTCTATTGTGTATTGCATTCTATTTAGTTGGAAATTAATTTTTAAATTACAAACATTGGCCATTGACTCTATTCACCCCCCTCTAGAGTCAATTAGTGACTAACAATTGGTATCAGAGCCTAATCTCTAGAAAAAAGATTTAATCATCTTAGAGAACGATCATGGCCAATACAATG